TAAATAGCATGTTAATATTACAATAACTTAGAAATCAGCAATGATTCATCCCACTAATTTGAGAGTACTAATGGACTACTAATGAGATGAAAAAAAAAAAAAAAAAAAAAAGCAAAACATTCCATCATGTGGGACCCGCACCATTTTAAAGCTATTAGTGCTTTTCTTTTCAGTGGTCTCACTCATTTCTCCTCAGAAATAGAGCAGAGTAATATGGGCTTCTTTAACCAACTGGACTAGTTTAATTAACCATTTTAAGTATCAAGCATCGTATTACTGAGTTATAATTATTTAGTTTGATATAATTATTTTTATACTTGTAATTTTTTATCAATTTTTTTTGATTATCTAGATTCTAATCTCCTATCAATTAGATCCAAAAAAAAATTAAGGATTTGTTTTATTATGTGAACCCGACAAAAACTGATTCAATCGGAGAGGTGGAAATTTAATGCAATGATTCCTACTTGATCCAAACTTTTTTTTTTTTAAATCAATCTAAAAAATAATACTCTGTTTTAGTCACTCTAAAAAATAATACTATGTGATTATGTTTGACTCACAAGACTAATAGTGAAGTATTAATAATGTTATTAAATTAGTGTGGTATTCATTATCCAATTAGATTAATATCCATTAGATTAATAATCTCACCCCTATCTCATTACTAATAATCTTACAAATTTGTTGGATTAATTATTCATTGAATTAATAATCCTAAATTAAAATATTAAAATAGACATAAAATAATTAAATTTACGGATTAATAATCTCAATCTCACATTCTAATCCACCCAATCAAACATATAAGTGTTTGTTATTTTTATGCGTTTTCCATGCGAAAGAAAATATAAAAATTTAGTTGAAAAATAACTGTCAAATAAGATTTACCAGTAATTAATTTACTTTTGACTTTTCACCTAAGGCGACACCTTCTGTTCACTCCAATCATTGTTGTCATTGTTGTGACATATTAAACTCATTCATGGCTAAAAGGAAAAGTAAGAGAATTTGCGAGTTCAAGCAGCAAGAGGAGAAGAGCCACATTCTCTATTTGATTGAGTTTTTAAATTAATGGTAAATTATATACTGACACCCCTCAGATTTTGTTTGATATAGATTTTTTTTTTTTACATTTAAAAAATTATATTTATTTTTTTATCAAATTAAAATAATATATTTATCTCTTAACCTTTATACATATAAAATAATATAAATATTTTATTCATGTCATTTTAAGAGAAATAACAATCATTTTCTTTGATAAACTCACTACAACATTTTCTTAGTTTAGTGACATTTGAAAGTGCCACAAAACTATTCTTCTAATGACATTTTTTGGTCTTGTGGCATTTTGAACAAGTGCCACTTCTATCGGTGCCACGGTAGATACGAGTGCCACGGTAGATACTTGCAAGTGCCACTGCACCATCATGGCTGAAAACTTTCAATGACATTTTGATGTCATGGTAGATATTATTTGTGGCACTATCAAGCGCCATTAAAAAAAGAGTTAGTGACACTTGTAAGTGTCATTACACCATCAAGACTAAAACCTTTCAGTGACACTTTAATGTCATGGTAGACACTATTCGTGACGCTATCAAGTGCCATTCATGACGATAATTCGTTGTAGAACAATTTGATCCGCTCTTGCGGAGACTCGAACCGCCAACCTTCCGCACCATAAACCTTATACACCACACTCTTCCCACTACACCTCTATACCACCACATGATTATATATGCAACATATATTATTTATATAGTACATACATCCATATTAATATAAAAGTATATGTATAAACATAATTATTTTATTGAACATAATTTATGTAAAATAAACTATTTACTACCAAAATAAAAAAAGACC